TTCGAATTATAGAGTTTTCAACTTATCGAAATTCGAGTAAAAAAGAGTTAACATAAGAAAATTTGACTTACGAAAGTTTTGTACGAGAGTTTATAATTTTCCGATTATAATGGCTTTTAAAAGAAAAAAATTCAATATTTGATAGTAAATTATTTATTGTATACATATAATAAATGTAATCATAAAACAAATATCAGACTATTACTTATGATTACACATACCTACAACTTCGAATTATAGAGGTAGTGACAATGGAAGTTTGACTTATAAAGGTGAACTTCGATTTGTAAAGGTTTAGCTACTTTGAATTCGAGTTTCAAAAGCAAAATAATACATCTAAATATTTGACAAATAATTCGAGTTAAGGTAGGTTTTATTTCGATCTATAGATATTTTCCGCAGCGGAGCGGAAGGGAATGAACAAAATTGTCGTTTTATAGAAGTTTTTGAGTTGTAGAGATTCGAGATTCGATTGTAAATAAATATAAAAAATGAAAATTACGTTTTTTCTTTTTTGTAATTTGTTTTCAAAACGAAGCGAAAACAAACATATCTCTAAAGAATCTTTTCTTAATTTATCAAAGGGAGCATTTCATTGTTTAAATTCGGGACATCCTGTGCATATTTATGTATACATTACCTTTTTATTTTATTTTATAGGAGGTACTGGTTTTCTTGGAAAGGTCTTGATTGAGAAGCTATTACGAAGTTGCTCCGATATTACTACAATATATCTGCTCATACGTTCGAAAAAAGACAAATGCCCCGAAAGTCGACTGGACGAAATATTTCAGAAACCTGTGAGTATTTCGTAAACGCAATCAAGACATGATATATTTGTGAAGCGTTATTATCTAAATCTGCAATTTGTAGCTTTATGACCAACTGAAAAGGGAAGTACCCGACTTCCGCAAAAAAATTGTGCCGATTAATGGAGATCTTAAATCGGAAGACTTCGGATTGTCAAAAAGTGACAAAAAGATACTGATAAATGAGGCAATTAATTCAAATTACTCTTTTTATACTTTTGCTTATATGATTTCAATGCAATAGAAGTTTATTTTATATATATCAAATTATAATTGTTAATTATTATCAACAATTAGAACTAAACTGTCATTGCTTTTTTCTATTTTTGCTGTTGAAAATTTTACAGCCTGACAATATATTTAATATAGGTGTCCATAATTTTTCACATAGCAGCGGATATACGGTTTGACCAGAACATCAAAATTTCTACGCAAATAAACATTAACGGTGCTATTACCATTTTAAAATTTGCAAAACACATGCCAAATTTAAAGGTAATTAATCTTTTATCTAATAGTGTATTGTAGTAACTAACAAAATTGATATTGTGAAATTTTCATTTAGTTTAAGAAAAAAACGTAAATTAAACATAATGTTTATCCTGTAGTCATTTATTCACGTGTCAACAATGTATGCAAACTATCATGTGGATCATATCGAAGAACGATTCTATTCATACCGTATTAATTACAAAGAACTTATTATGTTTACACGTAACTTATCCGAAAACGAACTCGAGAAGAAGATATCTAGGTATACAAATTCTTTCATTTTCTAACATTAAATAACACCGGCACACAAAAAAAAAGTGGTTTGTGCATTTGACCGGACC